TTTTTTTGCAAATTATGTTGCTAATTAGTTACTTATCGAAGATGAGAGTGATGAACATATTAATTAAGGTTTCAAATATGTCGAAAGTTGACCTATGAATGTCATTATTTCAAATTATTTTAATAAAGTGGGGAATTATGTATTTTAAATTATTTGAAGATTTCCTAATTATTTTAATAGAACTAGTTATATTTTAATATTTGAATATTAAAATATTTGCTTTCAAAATTCAATACCAAAGTCTCGGGATATTTATTTAGATTTACTTGATCAAAATAAATATAAGTTCAGATGATTTCTAAGGAAAAGCCAGTCTGATGAGAATGATCATCATCAATTTGATATCCTTGCATGGCGGATATCAAGCCATCAAATTTCATATGTAAAGGCAAAAGACCACTGAAAATACATCCAAGAATCAACTAAATATTTTCATTCTCATATATCGAGGACTATTGAAAAATAGGCTTTTCACTCCATGATCCATCCACCATATATTCACATACATTATATAGATTGTACTACTAATTATTGTGATGAATAACAGAAGTAAAAATTTATGAGATAGTATGCCATGTTTAGAAAACCATGTTTACAAAAACTTTGGATTGGATTATCCAATTTTTAAAATATTCACCCCTTACAATATTAATAATTTTTTTTCAAAAGATAAAACTCCATTAAATATTATTAATGGAGATGCTCTTATATCTATATTCAAATATATTGTAGATTTTATCATCACAATCATTTTTTATTACAAAATTTTAATAATTTATTTATTACAAAATTTAAATGGTTGTTTTGTTAAAAAAATCTTGAATAACCTTTTCGTAGTTAGATTTTTTTCCAGCAACAATTTCAATAGAGATGCCAAAATGGGTTAAAATTCAAATTTCATATCTCTGAAAATTGTGGAAAGTTGAAATTGAAAATTGCTAAGCTCTTTCAAGTATCTCAGAAATTAATGTTTCAAGCATTTCTAACTTCAACTTTGAAGTAACAAGCATTTTAAAAAGAATCAAAATTAGATTTGCATTGTGACATTTGTGATATTGTTATTGTTTGTTGTATAACTTTGTTATGTGGTACACAAGTGAAACTCACGTGGACAATTCTA